AACAGGGACCAAATAGGCCGCAATCTGCTTTCACGTCATTTACCAAGCGATATCAGCAGTTTGTTGAACCTACAAGACCTGCGTCTGTGAAGCCTGCTGGGAAGACCGTTAGTCAACAGTTCTCCAGCTTCAACAACAGGGCTGGTTCAGAGGAGGAGCTCTTCTCTAACAGTCCACGGCCAGCCCGACCTGCCTCTGTTCCAGCTCCCGAGTTGAGGGAGCGCGCGGACTCTGGGACGCACTTGGCCGGTCCTGGAAAGAGCTTGAAGTCGCTTAGCAATCCCCTCAAAGGGAAACTAATGGCCCGGCCCAGGACTCGCCCCAAAATTGAATATGAAGAATTGGCTCAGGTTAGGTAGCAACTCGTAATTACTTGAGATCTTGCTTTAGACAATTTCAAAATATCTACTTTGTGAAGTGTGTATGGCTCTTTTAAGTAATATTTCATTCGCTTGAACCTCAGCAAAACGACGCTTTATCTTTGTTTTCTGATGTAGGACCACGAGCGACTCCAAAAACAAGTGTCTTCCCTGAAATCAGAGCTCGATAAAATGCAAGGCTTGTATTTGTACTGCGGCAGGAAAATGGACTCGTACATTGGTGAGTACCAGTGCATAACCTTTATTTTTGAAAGTTTTAACGGCTTCTGTTGTTCGTTTTCATGCATCTGGATTGCAAGAAAGACGGTGAAAATTGAGCTCAATGGTCGAAAAATGAAAAATAGTAAAAATGCACACAGGACGCACCCGACGCTGTTGATCTTAGTAGTAAGCAGGGAACTTCTGAAATGCGAGGCCTCGCTCGCTAACGAGTTCTCTTTGCCTCGGTTGGTAGAGGTTAGGACCGTGAAACAAAAGGTCTGAGGCTCTCATCTTCGTTACGAACCCAGATTTTTTTCCTTTGTGTCAAGTCGTGTAAGATATTTGCAAAACTACTTTTACTTATAGCCTCTTTTTTTCTGTATTATTTCCTCAGATCTTCTTCAAGACGAACTTACAAAAGACGAAGATTGTGTTCGAGACATCGTATATCTGTGTTTAGCCGGCTTAAAACAGGTAAGGAGTATTGATTGTCTGTGAACTTAAACTTTCGACATGGATTTTGTTTTTTCTTTCGTAACCACCTTCAACTCCGACAGAGTTGTTGTTTTTTTTCATTTTTGACGCTGGGAGGCTGATGAAAAGATAGAAGTCCTAAATTGTAATGAAGTGTTCTCGAGAGCACTCTTAGGTGAAATTTCCCAATTGGTTTATGATCGCGGTACTTTCTTGGACACTGTGGAAGCCCCACAACAGATAACTGGTTTGCAGGGTTAAACATTTTAGCGGTCATATTAGGTTAATGTAAGAAACATGGACGAGGAACGAGAAGTGGGAAAAACGAGAGCCTCTTGATGACGCGAATAAGGAGAGACTGATGCGAAAGACGATTTTAGAGATAATCGGAGCTATAACAAAATTCTCGAACGTGATTGGTTATCACCAGCCGATTTGAGCACCAATAGGACATTGTGTGCGTCATGCTTGTAATTGGACAGTGTAATAGGACAGTTAAAGGGACAGTTGACACGTGGCGTCATCTGCGCCATGTTGTCTCGCATTTCGCCGAGTTAACTGGTTTTGTTGTTGTTGTTGTTTTTTAATGAAAACGTATACCTGATGTCTAGTTTCTTTCTCAAATTTTGTCATAATTTTGATTAATTGGTAACAGGACTTCGTGTCGTCCAATTCTGACTGTAATCATACTCGTGACCGACAAATCAGACTCCCGCTTCGCGGTGGTCCGATCTTGTTAATCACCCATTTGATTACAAACCGAATTGGACTCCACTCGGTCCCACAACCATAATTAACGATACATTTTATTAAATTCAAAATAAATGTTCAACAGGTTCGGGATTTATTGAAAGGAACTTTGGCATTTCGAGGATCAACAATTGAGACAGAGTGTGATTTTATGGAGATTGATAACAACATTGCTTCTCGGCTGCAAATTCCGCCACAGAATCAACAGAAACACAGTGAAATTCCTGAGAACCTCCCTGTTCCAATGATGGCCAACTTTGGACACTTTGAGAACTCAGATGAAACTGAAAGCAGCTTTATGTCTGCTGGTGTTAAGCAAGGAAATATTCAGGAATCTGAGCATTCCAGCGAGGCAGACAAGGAAAACAACGGAAAGGAGTTTTCAATGGTTTCGGCTGAGATGGAAAGCATTCAACAGCAGCTGAGAGAGTCAGAAAATTTAAACGCGGAGATTTTCGCGGGAAAACATGATGGAAAGGCAGAAAACCTGAAGGAAAATTTTGCTGCTCTTGAAGATGGGGGAAATGTTGCTGCAGGAGATCTGGTGTTTAGATTTGGCGAAGAAACTGGAACCTTGGAGTCGACTCAATCTACTCGTCTGCTTCAAGGAGAGGATAAAGTCGGTGATACAACGGCAGAAAGACATGTTGACAATTCCGATCTGCCATCTCATGATAAGTTAAAAAGAGAGAATGAGAGAAGCGAGGGCGACAAAGATGAGTTAAAAGCAAATAATTTTCAAGGAATCGTTGGTAGCTTAACTACGTCATGTGACACCGATCATCTGTGTAACGCAACTAGTCCACTTTCACTGCCCATTTCTGACCCATTGACCGAGCGAAAGAACAATAACGACGATTTTCTTTCAGGAGTGTTACGGGGCGATCCTGTTGACAGGGAATTCGTGTTTGTTAATCGAGACGGCACAGCAGAGAGTGAGCTCAAGCCTAAATGGCACCCTCTGGAAAACAGCGGTGAATCTTAGCTTCCCTGAAAACAATTTTTGAATTGTAGATGAAATTAAGGAAAATTTAGTTATAATTTTATATTTACCTTAGTTTTTTCATAGTTTTATTGAATTAAATTTTTGTTTTGAATCGCTTTACCATAAAAAGCGTCAAATTTGTAGATTGTCCGCTTCGCAGCTGTCACTCAGTGACACTGCCTTAGTGTCACGCAATGTACCGGTATTTCAGGATGTGTCGTCGCGTGACATTCGATAAATTGGCAGCGAAGTTGACCAGATTATAGGAGATTAGTAAATTTTATCACAATTTGTCACGTGAACAGCGACAAAGGGAAAAGTAAAGCTTATCGAAGAACTCAATTCCATCATTAACTGGTGACTCGAGTGACTCGAGGCAAAAATTTTTAAAAACCTGGGGACGTTTTCTTTACAGTTGGGACACGGATTGCTTTGTAAGCTACCGTGCAGGAAAGAAAATATAAAACTATCCTAATATTTACCATTGCAAATGTTCAGCTGTCCTTTCAGAAGTCATGTCGTAATAGCGGTCAATTCGACTGATCACAGGTCTGTTGATGTTTGATGTTAATTTCCGGAAGTCCAATTTCTCCTGCATGGTTGTGGTTGGCTCCAATTGGACCAATTAAATGATCCAAAAAATGTTTGAGGGTCAGAGGACCTTTGTCATTGGAAATGACAGTGTAAAGAGATGTAATATCCATAGTGAAAAGAAGTTTTTCTTGGCTAGGGAAATAAAAGTTGCCAAAAAATTTTAAGTGCTGGCTGTTCTTGATTTATGATGGTAACGTTTTGAGAGTGGGTGCCATAATTTTGTGCTTTCTGTCTGTCAGAAATAAGTCAGAACCAGACTGTCCCACTTAAGTTACTAAAAACCACACAAATCCAATATGTCACGGTATTTTTAAAGCGTGTAACTTTTTTGCTCTGTAGTAAATCAACAGGATACCCGTACTTGAATAAGCTTTGTGCTCGAAAAGTCTCAAGCTTTCCTTTTCGCTTCTTTTGTTTCTCGTTTACAGATTTCTACGAAAGTTTCAATTTTCTTTCGCTTATTTTGTCTCGCAAAATAAGCGAAAATCCTTCGAAATTTTGCTCGTGAAATTGGCGAATAGCCGGCTAGAATTGATCCCCTCGAAGATGTTCGATGTCTGAGCGCTATGTCACTTGCGCATGCTCGACGTTTGACGGCTAGCACGGAAGCACTGTGGCAGGACAGAGCAGAATAACGTCGGTGCATCCGCAAGGCTTTAGCGCGAAAACGGATTCAGAGTTATTTGCACGTTCGATTTTCTATTGTGTTACTTCAAAGCGTTGTTTCCTTGCCGCTTTTCACACCCTTTCAGAAATATTTTCAAACAATTTTCTCCTTAAAAAATTGGAAAATACCTTCAACGACAACAAAATGCCTCGGTTTTAAATGCAAGCATCCTTTTTCTTCGCAAATTTCACTGAATTTTTAACCTCGTGTGCGTGAGCCCGCGTTATTGACCTCAAAGCTGTGACGTAGCATTTCTTTATTCAGCTCTGCCCAGTGGCCGTAGAAACCGTTGCTGCGTGAGCTTGGTTCCGGAGTCCTCCTTTAAATTAACATCCATCTTATTTTTAAGCATGTCTCACACCTTCCTTAAAAGTTTGCTCTGATCCATTCTCATGAAGTTGAAACCCTGTCACGGTAAGCACTAATATCTATTTTTGAAGGTTTGAAGGATTCATTTGATGATTCAAAGAACCTCAAATCCCATTGTCGCTACGAGTTTCGTGTTAGTATAATTGTCATAACTTATTCATCTTATTTTTCCCCTAATGCATGGTTAATTCTAATTAAATTACCTTTTTTTTTTATCAAGATTAGGGCCATTCAGCGGTTAGATGCGTGGGAAACTTTGGGTGTAACTGTTACACCCAAAGTTTCTCATCAGAAAAAGTGTTTCTCGTCAGAGAAAGTCCATCGTTCTTCTTTAAGAAATGGCCGGCGCAATTGTCATCAATTCCATGCCGGGATCAACTACAGGTTTTCGAAGCATGTATCAAAAGGAAGAGGTTTAGAAAAGCAAAGCGTGGTTTTTGGGAAAGCGTAACAATGAGATGCTACAACGCACTCGGTCTGAAAATCGCGTGATCACACATTTTTTCTCCACGTATTTGTGGTTTAGTTAAAAACCCCTTCTTTATTAAGATAAACTATGCATTAAATTTTAGTTTGTGAGGTTTAAAAAATTCTCACACGAAAGAAAAAAAAAGGAATTCCACCATGTTTCCTACACTGCTATGATATATATATATACCGACCTAAATATACTCTCGAAAGTATTGCTATATTTATAATTCTATAGAGGCTCTTTTTTTAAGATAACTAAAAAAAGAAAAAGTTTTGCGAAAGGAGAAAAAAAAAAGAAGGAAAAGAAAGAACAACACAAACCCACAAAAGTTCTGCGAGGGCTATCAAAACTCAAACACTCTTGGAAATTATCTTGTGGAAATAGAATCTACTAGCAAATGATTTCCCAGGTTTCCCACATTATTTGGTTCGCTAAGAATCACAAGAGATTTTCTGCGGTAAAACAGAGGCGTCGGTCTCTAAGAGTCTTCACTTAACCTAGCGTTAACAACACACCACACAAGTGTTCCCTAAGTTGCCCGCATGCGTGGAAATATTCTCCAAATGAGGACAATTTTGATGGAAACGGGAGTAAAATGAAGTGGCACAAATTAGGCAGGAATTTTTGCGCGCTACGTTACTTCAAACTGGAGCCTCTCCAATCATAATCATCTGAAGTATGGGAGATTATGGCTACAGAATTCGAATGACCACTATGTAGAAATTATGAAGATAACTAAAAATAATTATTATATATTTAAATTATTCGGTGTTTCCGAATTATAAAGCCGCTTGCTAATGATGAAACAGATATCTTGATCAGTGACAAGGATGTCAGCAAACTTAACCAAGACAATGAATGGAACACAGTTCGTGTCGAGCTGCTTCAACACTGAAGTACAAATAATCGCTGAAATCTTTGCTTACTGTTTGGTTTTTGTAGTTTCGCTGGTTGGAAACACCTTGATCGGAATTGTTGTTTACAAGAAAAAAGCCCTGAGAAAGCCCATTAATTTTTTGATTGTAAACATGGCCATGTCCGACCTGCTGTTCCCGATTTTCCTGTTTCCTAACAACGTGATATGGTTACACACCAGCTCTTGGGTGTTCCGCGGTCTTTTTGGCAAGGCTTTGTGCAAACTTGTTCCCTTCTTCATAGAATCCTCCCTTGTTGTCTCTGTTCAAAGCTTGGTTCTGATCGCAGTGGATCGATTTGGAGCTGTTTTTTATCCTCTTCGGGGCCCACTCATCAGTTTAAAGCTGTGCCGGTTCCTGATTCTCGCCACTTGGATCATCGCCATGGCTGGCTGGTGCATAAACTTGTTCACCTTTAACCTTGTCGAATATTCAGAAAGACTGGCGTGTGTGCGAATCTGGAGTGAAGCATTGGGAAAGTACTTTTCCTTTGAAACCTTCATTGTGGTAATGCATGTTGTATTCCGATATGTCCCTTTGATTTTTATAGCGATAATTTACGTTTCCATTGCTATAAAAATCAAATGCCAGAAGACGCCAGGCTTGCAAATAGTCAATTCAAGAGAACGCCGTTTGAAGAGAGAAAGGAGCGTTCTGAAGATGTCCGTTGCCATTGTGTCGGTGTTCGGAATATGCTGGTTGCCTCACACCATCGGCTGGTTCCTTATCACATTTTCATCGAATACCACTATGATATCGTCTTGTGGCTTTCTATACTTTAGGTCTGTTGCCTATTTCCTTGCTGTGGCAAACTGTGCTATAAGTCCTTGCATCTGTTTTACTTTCAGTGGAAATTATCGCGGGGAACTCAAGAACATTCTTAGCTGCTTTTTCTGCTAATCCGAAGGCTTACATATACAGTTGCAAAATAAAATTGTTACATAATCAGGCCGAAATGAATTTCCTACGGACAAGAGACAAATTGAACTCGGTAACAAGCCTCCATTAGATTACAACCCGACGACATTGTGCAATTTCTAATTCGTGATAAAAGGATCTAAAGGGTTGTAGTTTACGAAGCGTTAAAAGGTTCTGTAATCACCAAGGAATAACGAAAAGAATGCCAGTTTTGGATGAAGCGCCTAAGTGCCACTCGCGCTAAGAACGCTCCTCTCGACTTCCCGTCGGAAAAAAGTTTTCTTTTAGTTTTTGCCGAGAATAGATGCCGAGTTGTCCTAAAACGTTGCGTAAACGTGATCGGTCGTAAAGCTTGCGCGCTTGCGTGACCTACAAAGTTAACAAAGGAGGTCGGAAGGTGCCTTCTCGATAATTTTCGTTGAAATATCAGGTCTATCTGCACAAAACCGTTGTGGTCCATAACAGCGTAAAATCATTAATGATGGAAACAAACTTGTAGAAAGGAAGGCTAGTCCATCGCGTTCCGTGTGCAAAATCTCGGGAGAAACTTTTAGAATTCTTTCAGAGTGTATGCATGTTATTTTGTAAATAACACTGTAACGTATTTACACCTGTAGAACGTAGAACGTAGAAGATAAACAAACGAAGTTTGAACAGTCAAAGGGAGATCTTCGTCAGGTTTCAGAATTATGCAAATTGTCACTGACACGAGCGCAATTTAGCGAACACGTGGATTTGCGTTGTTTTTAAAATGTTGGTGGATGAAAGCTACAGATACAACCGCGGGTTTGAGGCAATCGGTATATATGTGTAAATTGAAATCCGTTTTTTCAAAAGTTACAAAAGGAAAAACGGAGATCATAAAGAGAATTCGAATTCCGTTTCCTTCCTTGGTGATTACAAAACCTTTTTAACGCTTCGTAAACTACAGCCCTTTAGATTCGGATATCGAACCTTGATTTCAGAGACAAGCTCCTCGTAAATATGTTTCTGTTCGATAAGAAACCGACGGACAAAGTCTTTATCTAAGACATTTTCTATCGCCGCCATCTTAGTTTCCTAAATATTACCGCTGAAACAAAGATTGTCAGTTTCACTGCCATTGGCCGAAAACGAAAAGCGAAAAACGACTTGT